ACATTCTTACAACAGCTTATCAAGCTTAAACGTGCTGCTGTTGTTCAGCCGCTGGTTTCCTCTTTCTGGTGCAAAGTGGACCAAAAACAAACTAGAGACACGGACTCGCGACAGAAAAGCCGATCAGCTGATCATTAGCAGTTTCACGATTGAAGTAGCAGCCGGAGAGCGAGAGGCAGTCGCTCGTTAAGCTTAACGTGGGAATGCTTTACAAACATTCAGAGATGGACTTACACACTTGCTTTACTTCTCTCGGGATAACTTTGTCGGAGATGAAATGCCAGGTTGCTAGCGAAGCTCCAAATGCTATCCAGACCACAGGTCCTGCATGCCACAGCCGCTCTATCACGTGATGCATACTGCTCCGACATGCTAACGTTCTGAGGTGAGTTACGGCGTGTTGCAAGTTTTGTGAGGTGCTTTCGTGATATTTAATGGATCGGATTACATTTTTTATTTTTCTCCGATATCCGATCCAGTAATTTAGGTCAGTATCGGACCGATACCGATACGTAATATCGGATCGGTCCATCTCTACCAGGGAGTGCCAAGGACAATATGTGCGCTATATTTTTAAGTTCACAGAGAACTCTGTGATTGTTTCTCTCCTGAATAGTGATGACCGTGATCACAATCCCCACTACAGACTGTGATCGTGGCCCTATAGAGGTTGATTTCACACTGGTCCAAGTTATTCCCACTGCATCAACAACTGAAGAGATGGTTTTGGATTTTAGAAAGAATCCTATGACCGTCTCTCCTGGGGTGGTAATAGCTGATGCTTTGGAGTGTCTGCAGAAGCAGAAATATTGAGGCATTGAAATTTATAGGACTCTGAAAAAGGTCCAATCAATCCTGATCCAAACAAACCCTTGTCTAAGGAATTTATATTGCTCATAAAGAACAATAAAATTATTTTTGGTCCTTGATCTGTTAAAATAATCAACTCATTTTCACTTTCTGTTCAGATTGAAGGACCTAAACTTTGAAGTGAGGTGTTATGATAACTACAAGCAGGAGGCAGTCCTAGATGAAATCGCCAAAGGTACCCACATAATCACTTGTAACTCTCAAATGACCAGCATGCATCCAAGATGGACATAAAAATCATCAAGAAAATCATCACCGTAGTTTGATTTCTCCCATAACTCTTTGCTCTCCTGCAAACATATCTGTCTCAAATCCAACATACAGCTGCAAGTATAACAAGTACTTTTTGTCCCACTAGCTGCGGAGGAAGATCACTCAGATGCTGATTGCTTTTTCCTCGCCTTCCTGAGCCACGGAGAGGATAACCATGTTTATTGCTACGATGGAAAAATCAGTATCCAGGAGATCACGTCCAAGTTCAAGGGAGACAAGTGCCAGGACCTTGTTGGAAAGCCAAAGATCTTCATAATACAGGTACACACTAGCCGAAATCAGTCAAGTCTATTAGAGCAGCGGTCCCCGACCCCCGGGCCTCGGACCGTTACTGGTCCGTGAGTCGTTTGGTACAGGGCCGCGAGAGTTGAGGCTCAGGTGTGAAATGTATGGTTTTCAGGGTTTTTATCGGTTTTCAGCGTTATTTTGTTATCGTTTTTATCGTTAACTCGGTTTTCCTGGGTCTTTTCACGTGTGTTATGAATAAATCTTCTTTTTTTCGGTACCGGTACTAGTTTTATTTTGTTGTATTTATCCGCGACACCTTAAAGGCCGGTCCGTGAAAATATTGTCGGGCATAAACCGGTCCATGGTGCAAAAAAGGTTGGAGACCGCTGTATTAGAGCATGTTAACTTGCTGCATTACCTTAGTTTAATGCTCCATCCATCCATCTCCAGGCATGTCGAGGAGAAAAACATGACGATCCAGTTACCCCTGCTGATGCAGTGGATAGCAAAGTAGAGGTGTTTGTGGATGCCAGTGCCATACACACGCTCCCTGCTGGGGCTGATTTCATCATGTGCTATTCTGTGGCTGAAGGTGAGTCTTCTGGGATTTGACTGAACCTTTTGCTTTTTATTTGGGCTCAGAGGAAATATCAAAGACACTGAACTGAGTGTATTTTTAATCATAGGGTAGATATGTGATGTTAGAATAATTGTATCCTCAAATACATCTAATAGTTTCTTCTGTTTAATATAATTAATAATAATATAAAGCTAAAATGTCTCCACTTGGCTACCAGTGACACATGATTACAGTGTCACAAACTGTCCAGCTAGTGTTATACACTGTTTGTGTATTTGTATTTATATGTCTAAGCTCATTTATCGGTGATCAAGAGCTGGACCAGTGCCTAAATAGGTCTATTTTTCTTAATAAAACAGTACAATTGAGCCACTATAAATCCTGGTGTAAAGCATTTAACATTTCATAGCTTTCTAAAAATCCATACTTCTTCCATTTGCATTTTCTTCACCTTCCATATTAACTTTTCTTTTCAATATTTTTTAGGTTATTACTCACACCGGGAGACTATCAATGGCTCCTGGTATATCCAAGATCTGTGTGAATTGCTCCAAAAGCATGGTGATACCCTGGAATTCACAGAGTTACTCACGCTGGTCAATAGAAAAGTGTCCATGAGGAGTGTTCTGAGAGCTCGTGACCTACACGCTATCGGGAAGAAGCAAGTACCTTGTTTTGCTTCAATGCTCACCAAGAAACTTTACTTCCGACCAAAAAAGTAACACTGTCACACCTCAGTCTTTCAATAAGCGGGTTTATGTGGGGTTTTTTTTTTAACTAGATAGGGCTTCTAAACAGGAATTTACACTTGGCACCAGATTATGACTAAATGTATATAATTTTCTGCATCACCATCTGAATATGAACACATGTAAAGTGACCATCTAATGCAGTTTATTGCTTCATTCAGCGCCTGTTAGGCTCTATGGGGGTCATATGTAAAACATGTTTCTTTGGCAAAGAATTAGTGTTGTTCTTATGGCAAAAATTTAAATAACTAAACAGTGAAAACGTGGTTTCCAGAAGATTAAAACAAACAAACAAATGAACTCTTTAATCTTGGTCAGACTTTCCCAGTTATCTCTGAATGCAAACCAATAGTTGGGATTATAATGGAGTCTAACCCAACAACCCCTACAGTAACTGATATTTGAACTGTTGTTGGAAATAGAGATGCTGTTTTACTTAGCGAGCACAACTGTGGCTGTCTTCTGACTAAGTTGAATATCCATCCATCCATCCATCCATCCTCTCCTGTTTATCCAATTCAGGGTTGTCAGGGCCAGCTGCCATAGGTCGAGAGGCAGGGCACACCCAGGACAGGTTGCCAGTCTGACTAAGCTGCTTATGACACAAAATATAACAAGATCTAATGAGTTTATAGAGAACATCCAACTGAAAATCAGTTGTATATACCTCAGGCCTGTAGTTGTGTCTATCCATCTTGACTGCGTTAGTAATGAATTAATTACAGAGTTTGGTGATATCAGCTGTTGAAACGACCACTCTGCTTGAATTTAACACAACTAAATGGCACTTATCTTGTAAAACATAAGGACCCAGAAATATATTCTCAGATGTCCACTTTCAGGAATTATTTCCTGAGTATTAAAAAGAGTTCATGTGGGAATGCCAGGATGTTCAAGTTAATGGCTGAGCTTCACTGACAGATGGCCACACATTTTTTTTGATGATCAGATTTAATTCCATACAAAGAAAATAGTTTTTAAATGTGATTTGTGGTTTTAGTCCTTTAAGCATAATGAGACAACTGACATTTAATTTTATGATATAAAAGAGAAGGCAGACATGCCTGGAGCTGGAAATGAAGAAAAGGCACTACAGGCCAGAGGAAAACTAGCAGAGATGTTTTGTTCTGGGGGACAGGGGTGTGTAAAAGGCCACAAATTTGCCAAAACGGGCAACATTAAAACTACTGTCATCGTTTAAATACTGCCATTGATGGCGTAGCTGTGTTAAATTTGGTATTCCTGTTATTTTTTTCTATCCCCGTCCATGTGGATTACAACCCATCTGTATTCAAATCATGATGGTTATGAATCAGTCTTTTTTGGCTGCTTCGTAAAACTACTGAAATAACTTTAGTAGTACAGAACGATGCCTTACTGCACGGCAGTGCGTTCAGTTTGCCTTCTTTTATAACAAGTTCAAAGCACATAGTTTACAGCGGCCTTGTACACAGAGCTTATCACCTTGAAGCTTGAAAACTCAGGGAGTCTGTTTCACAGGTTTTTGAGGATTTTTTTTTTTTCAGCCAGACAAATATTTTCCAGTTCATCTTCAGAAATAGGCGACATGCAGTGCATTCCACTTAAAACTGGAATTTCTTAGTTCTTAGCTGGAATTTTCCGGTGGAATGCTCCTACTCATCAGTTTCATTATCTCACTATAAGCCTCAAGTAGCCAACACTTTAACAAACTGTCCAAGCACTACATAAACAGTGTGTTTCCTTAAGCCTTACTGCTTTACAAAGGGATTTCATGTTCTTTATGTGTCAGTAATTTATAGTACATTTACTCCTGCATATTTGCACCTAGACGACAATACCAGTGTGAAAAGTACCTCAGGGAGGAGGGTGTGTTCTTTAAAGTTGTACTTTGGACCTAAAACTGTGTGTGGCGTGGGTGTGTGTGGCGTGGGTGGGTGAATACGCCAGAATAAACAACAATGCTGTATGTTTGTGGTCATACTTTAGTTACTTTACTTGCCCTCAATAAAAAGGTGTTTTATAAAAATCTTCATTGCATTTGTGTTAGAAAGTGCGTTTGCATTCTTTATTTAATAATCCTGTAACGGCCACGATGCAGATTTAATCAAAGCGCTTCACAATCACACAATCAGACCAGAAAGACACCAGATTCAAATGAGGTTTGGGAAACATTTCATTTCATTAGCAGTCAATTTTTGTTCTATTTTTTTTTCTTTTGATATATAATTGGCATCATTATTAATACTTAAAGAAAACAATTTCATGGATTTGAGATAAAAAGATGCTATTATCAAAATAAAGCAGGAAAATTCGTTTTGTTTTTCCTCTGTTAAAGTTTGAGGGACCATCATTCATGGCTTGGCTTCATTTATGGCTTTGGCTGGATTTGTTCAATTGGTAGCTGGAGTTGGGTTGGATATCTCAGACGCCTCAGGTCTTCCTCCACCTGAAACGCAGAAAACAGAAAATCAAAGACTGTAAAAGCAGTTGTTCATACCTTTTGCAGGTCTCTGAAAACAATTTATAAGAGCTTTTATTTTTGGCTGATATTTCCTTTAATAATAAAAAAAACAAAACAGTTCCTTGTAGATTTGTTTAAGAAAAAAAAAACACATTCAGTAACAAAGATTCTGACTATTTAGTCATTTATTGTAAAACAAAACAGTCAGCCAACCTGGGCCAGCTTGTCTTTGAGTTCATTGTATTTTTCCACGTTGAATCTCTTTTTCCTGGCCCCCTTATAAAAATAACGCAGGAACTGCCTGTCCTGGGCGTCTGGGTATACATAATCCTGTAGGAGAGAACAAAGTAGGTTAATTATTTAAAAATATATCTGCACACATGACTATTTTACACAAATGAGCATTAGGTGTAACTAAAATTTGTTTTGTTGTAACACTTTAGATTTTTTTTTAACATCTAAAGTGTAAGATCAGCCTTCTAAAGGAGGTTATTATCATTTCTTGGGTCTAGAGAGTTAGGCTAGATTTTATGGTTTTTTCCAGACTATTAACTGGGCAGAGAAAATTGATGTATTTCCCAAAATGTGATCTTGAAATGATCAGAATATTTAAAAGGAAAAGCATTTTGAAAGTCAGTGAAAGTTCTGGTACGTGACTTGCTGAGTAATAGGTTCTAACTGCTAGTTGTCAGTTACCCTGATAAGAAGTCAAGTTGAGCCATATTTATTTACACTACAAACAGCCTTCACCCCTTCAGAGCAATACAGGACATCTTTATTGTAGCTTCCATGTTGTTTTCACAGTCCACAATAAATCGCACGCCCAAGTCTGAAGGAACAACTTGTGAAATGGCCTGAGGAGCACCTGTCATCTACACCTAGAGGAAAACGGTGAAGTCAGTCAGGTGTCTCTGAGTCTTACCTGTTTGGTGAGGATATAGTAGGCGAAAGCTGCCATGCTGGTCGAGTAGGTGATGAAATACGTGACGGGCTCCATGACGTCCCACGAATAGACCCACCAGGTGAGCCAGGCCAGGGCGCCGCCCTGCACGGACAGCAGCGCCAGGCCAACATACAGAGCCCTGGATGTCTGGAAGTCTGCTTTACCGGACAGGTCTGCCTTCATCTTTCACCAATAAAATGCAGAGAAAAATGGGTTACCAAGTCTTTAAGGCTGACATGTCATCATTACCTTTAAATGAAGCTTTCAAGCAAGTATAACAAGGTATAAAGTAATTTCATGGGTGAGTGGTTGTTGCAACACATCGAGTACCTTCTCCAGAGGAGAAAGCTCCTGTTTGAGGTTGTCCAGTTTCTCCAGGAGCTCCCTCTCCTTCAGCAGCTGGTGTTCGGGCTGGTGGAGCGCCGTGTGCAGCAGGTGCACGACATGTTTCATGTCCTCCAGCTCCATAGCGTGCTCAGCAGATGCACACACTGCAACGGAGGCGCAACAGGGCAGACAACGAGGAGAAAGTAAAAGTGAAATATGAGAAGAATGGAAGATAATAACCACATTTTATCACCAGGATCAAGTGTAATTGGAAAACTGCCAAATGGAGAATTTATGAATGGAGATAAATGTACCCCTTTCAGGAGCGCAGATATTATAAACTGCATTGTTGATGACAAGCTGAAAGTCCTTGTCCAGCAGGGCATCGATCAGCGTGCTGTTGGCAATGCGCTCCCCATCTGTCAAAGCAAGCGCTGAACTGAATTAACTTTATCTTTTATACCGTGAAAAAAAAGGTTTGCTGGCAGAGGGACCAAACAAATTCAATAGAACATGAAAGAAACAAAAAGTTTATCAAATAAACCCCACGGTAATGGACAAAGTCAGTAATTTACACCTTAAAGAATGTAGTTCAGCACTGCATAACTACAGGTCATGTATGGAACGAGAGCTGTGTGGGAAAAAAGGTCATCTGCTAATCTCTGCTGCTCTGGTCTAACATGTCCCGTCTTCTAAAGTGATAAAAATCCTTGCCACAACCTGCCTCACCTGTCTCCTTCATGGAAAAATACACTTTTCACAAGTTACCCTTAAGGTAACTTAAGGAGGACTGCATCAGATAACCGTCCTAACCGCTCTGGTTCCCATACCAACTCAGATGTGAGTGGCTACAAAATGATTAGAAGTTTGAAAAGGAAGCGTGGAGTACTGTTACAGAAAATTGCCCTATTTTTCTCCACTGTGTCAAAACATGGCACGCTCAAGGCAACACATAACTTTGGTGAGAGACACAGGTGTGTGAAGATCGTGTAGACCAGTGTAACCTTGTGCCACTCCCTCCTGCTCACTGAGGAGCCACAGAGGTTTGCAAGACTATCTGCATGTAAAATACACTGCAGTATTCCCCAAAATCGCACGGTTTATGAATTTCTTTTAAAAGCAATGATCTGTGCTACAAGATCATAAAACAGACACCGCCCTGTTTTAAAGGGCAGGGAACCGTGACCTATTGTACTACAAACAGCCACAGTTACTCGCAGTGGAAGGTGATTAACTGATAACTGCTCAGTGTAAATGTGAAAATGAGTAAATGATTATTGTGGAGGCATCTTGCTTGACTGGCTATCGTTCATCCTTTTTGTGCGCAACCCGGCGAACCAGACCGACTGCACCTGTTGCATACTGAGCATGTCTTACCTTTAGAGAGAACTGAGGCGGTAGCTCCTGGGTCCTCTTTCTGCAGATCGCTGATCAAGTCGCCCACGCTCATCAACATGGGCCTTAAAAAAAACAGACACTTCTCATTCCTGGATGGCAAGGGGACTTCCAGAACCAAACGCCCATGTTTGTACTTCAAAGATGCAGCTGCTGCACAGTGAAGGGGGTGGGGGTGGGGTATGGACAGTTTAAGTGTTAAGCTTTGCATTTATTATTCCAATTATGTGCACAGATAAGGCCAGTCTAACCACCCACAAGTAAAGTCACAAACCAGGTGCACACGTGTGACATAAAAGTTCAATATTGTGTGGATGTAATAACATCATATTACCACTAGAGGGAGCATTTGTAGCGTAGAAAAGAGCTGGATAACTTCCAAGTGGAGGCCTTCTGTGCTGAACCTGTAAAGAAGGATATGAAGGGAGAATGAATGAAAGGAAAGAAATGACTCAGTTTTTTTCTTTGTGTTCTCACGTACACACAGACACACAAACCCCGCCCTTGGCAAACTGTCATGTCAGCAGATGTTGGAGAGTAAACAGATCCACGGAATACTAAAAGGAAGCATCCAAACAACCAAAAAGAAGCACTTGGAAACCTTCTGCCACAAGCCAGTTCACAGTGGTGCTTAATTACACCGTGGCTTCCTAATATGCTTTTATGTCACAAGGAACAAACTGATGCATGACTTTAATTCTTTTTGTGACAATGGTATTAAATGCTTAAATGAAAAACAAGTGCATTTGTAAATATGAGACGTACTGTCACACAGTGAGACCTCAGGTTTCTCCCAGACTCCTGAGTATGGAGAACACATCCACTGAGAAGTTCATTATTCTAATCAGCAGGAGTACTTCTTTGTCCTACGCTTGGCATTCACTGGGCGTAGTCCTTCTGCCGTCTTTTTAATGCATGCTTGTATGCCTACACAGTGCAGGTATTTAAGTTGCAAGCATAATTTAACACACTAAATACTAAAGCGCACTAAATCTGACCACAATCTGCACACTCAGAAAGTCAGAAGGGTTCCCGCTTGGATACATCTTCATCCCACTAATGCCCAGTGATGCTGCAGACACTCTCCTATCCCTTGGCCTTCAAGCTGGGAGTTTGGTCAATCAATATTACATTAAAGAAGAACAAGGGAGCTGTCCGTTTTCATGAGAGGAAGGGGGCAGGCAAGTCTCCTATCACAGGAACATAGACACGAAGAGACCAGATGTGCCGTTTCTCACGCAGCTTTGGAGTGAGCGCTTTAAGAGGGAAAACGTTTTAAACGAGCAATAAGTAACACGCACTTTAAGCTGAAGCTTAGCCTAAAACTTTTAGTACCGCAGTGGTTCAAGCAAACTGTGAAAGTGCTTTAAAAAGTTACTGACAATTACCTAAAACCTCAGGATACAAGGGCTTGTGTATCGGTTATGTATCACACAATGAAGAAAAATGTGGACAGCAAGAGTGAAGCAAATTGGTCCCATGAGTCAAATTCGAGTTGCTCCAGATAGAGATAGAGAGCAATTAAGGGCTGCCCACACTTGCGGTGAAACCAATATGAAGGTGCCTTCTGTCTGATAGCACACACTGAAAAATGTCTAAAAGCTGCAGTGCACTGGGTAAGGCAACCTGAATAAGCTGTAGTGTCAAAGTCTCAGCTTTCTTATCAGGACTGTAAAAGACGTCGAATTAGTAGAATGAACAGGAACATCGTGAGATCCCGACACTCCCTCACTATAATTTGCCCGTAACAAGTTAAATATCCATTTACAGCGCGCCTCCCCTCCATCCCTTATAGAGACCATCTACAACATATCCACTACCCCTCCTCTGCACACGTCCGAACCACCTCATCCTTGCCTCTCTTACTGTGTCTCCACCCTGCACAACCTGACTTTCATTCCTCCTCTCTCCATCGTATACTTGCTCCCTACTCTCACTACAGATCATAATGTTGGCTGTGAAAATCATAGTCCACAGAGACTCCTGTCTGACCTTACCTGTAAACCTGTCCTTCACCAATGCAGACAAGGAGTCCCACCCCTGCTGCACACCTCAGCACTGTCTCACTGTCCTCATAAATGTCACGCACGACCCTTTCTGCCACTCTTGACTTTCCTCAGACAATACCACACTTATTTAGCCTTTAAATGTTCAAATATACAACATTTGAGAGGCTAAAAACATACTTTTGCTTCCCTGCTAACAACTCGCCCAGAAAACACTGCGGGTAGACCCACACAGCATGCTGTAGGGCAGTCCACATTAAACCACAGGTAACCATTTGGGCCTGTATGGGTATGTCCACATTAAGGCCATAACCTACAGTGAGGGACAGAGCTTTGTTTTAAGGGCTCACAAGCGAAAATAGATCGACAACAAGTGGCCCAACACACCCAGAGAGATTTAATATTCCAGTCACATTAATCCCGGAAAACATAACCACGTTATCCAAAGTGGCCAGAAATAATCTAGTTATTCTGTCACTACAGAGTTAACCTCTGACACCAAACACCTTCCCAGCATATTTAACAACAGACTAGGAAAACCTTTTACTTGCCACCTCTGCTCCAACAGTCATTGTGCTTCATTAAACTGAGAGTTGCAGGCATTCACTGCCAACACACACGATAGGTGCTTGAAATAAAATGCATTCAACACTAGACTCGCATTAGCAAACAGTTCAGGCCAGAAGCGGTTTAACGGCCGGTGTGAGCGCAGCGAAGGTTTTTGCACTCTTTGCGCATCGGTGATCTGCTAATGTGAAAACAGCAGAGCTGAAGTTAAGCATTAAGGACGAGGACAGACTGTTTGCTGAATGGGTGTGTGTGTGTGTGTGTGTGTGTGTGTGAGAGAGATCACTGACCGGAGACAATTCAACAGCTGAGTGCCTACAGGCATTTTATATTCTGTGTACACACGTTACCAATCCCATTTTTAAATCAACACAATGTGGCTACCATGGCAGATAATACAGCTTCAGGGCTGTGTAATGAATAATAGTCCACTTCCAAAGCCATGCTCTCAGCCCTCTGTTATTATAGGCTCTAACACACTGCATGATAAATACTGACCTTCGTTTGTCTCTTACCTTCCTGTGGCAGCTACAAAGAAAAAAACCCATTAAAGAACAATTTGGGAATGCTAGCAAACCGATCAACATTTACAGGGTGACAGATGACCTCCAAAGTAGATTGTAGGGTTTGAAACTGAAAACTGAGGCCCAAATCAAATGTTTTTATTTGCATTTTCAATTTTCACCTTGAAATAGGCAGTGTTTGAACATGAATATCTCAAAAACTATTACAACCAAAAGCCTGAAATAACACATGGCCTTTCTTACCATAAAGAAAATGGATCAGAGCTGTAACTGGGACAGAGTGCCTGTTAGTGTCATTCTAATTTAACCTGAGTTTTCCAGCTCTTCCAGGACATTGTGCATGCCTACAAAGATTGTCTGGGAAATGAAAAACATGCACTTGTGTAATACAATTACTTCTTAATTATAATTACAGTTCTATCTGGAAACTTTTTTCTTTGGGTTAGACTATCTACTGATATTCTGTTTCTGTGGAACAACTTGACATATTTGCTCAATCCAGCATGAAAGCTGAATGAAGATTTTCTTTATTTTTGTATATAAAATTTAATTAAAAAAATATCATTTTGCATTAGTGTTCAGTTGCAGGTCCTGGTTCATGTTTATGCTATCTTTAACAGTTTTTGAGACATTTATGTTCAAACATATTATTATTATTATTATATATATCCAAATATCTCTGGACCGTAAAGTTGTTAAGTAAATTGTAAGCGGCTGAGCAGAAGGTCCCATGATGATTTGTAGCTGTCATGGGATCAGTGACTGGTCTCTATGGCTGTGTGACTGAGGCTTTAGCGATCAATTTCACAGTGGCTGCTCACAAATTCCGGCAAACACTCGCCAACCAATCAACAAATACACATTTCTCAGTTCCACTGACCCAATTAATGGAGTTTAAAATTGGCAAACAGTTATCAGCTACAGCTGCCTGTGCTGGCATCCACCTCCCAATCAGCATGCTTATTTCTCCTGCACAGTTTGACATGTTAACATGGTGGCATATGAGGATTGAAACTTCCACTTTGGCTTCATTTTCACTGAGCTCAAGTTTTACTTGAGCTACTCTAGTGCAAACAGCCGGGCCCGCCCATAGCTTATGCAGCACACATACATGACTGGTTATCCCATCCTGCAAGTTGAAGACTGTAGTGCCTGAACAAGCCCACACATGACAAACACATGAGTAACAGCTAACCGAATGCCTCTCATGGCACAAAACACGCCTGACTCGGAGAAACGATTGGGCTCTCTGCTTTGGCAGAAATTGCCATTGCCTAAATTTGTCTTCTTATCAAAACAAAACACACTTCCCTGATACGCAGCGCATCAATATTCAGAGCGCAGAGTGGTCGTTGTCTATCTATTGTCCTTCACACATTCCTGGAGCTGCAGGGAACATCACTGCACATCTGCCCCTCATCACCGAATCGTTTCATCCAACTGTTCTTTCACAGAACAATCAGCTGAAGGTGTATTTACGCCGTGAGCTAAGCATTTTTTATTTATGTCATGCAAACAGGGAAGGAGGAGAGAGAAGCCGGCGGTGAAAACTTGGGAATATGGTGACAATCTGCCAGCCTCTCTCCTTCCTCACGCAGAGGCTGTGGCTTGCTGCTCCAGTAATGATTGGCGTCTATCGCCAGCCTCATTTTCCCTGCAGTCTTCCATCAGTTCCCTCCATTATCAATCCTGTCACAACTGAGCTATGGCCTCCTAAAGGAATCGGCTCCCACTCTGGCCACAGATTTGATATTGCCAAGCAAAGGGGAAAGAGATTTTTGCCGTCGCATAAGGAATCATAAGAGAATAACTTACAGTGTCTACCCAGCATGACCCGAGGCATAAAGAAAAATGTGCAAGCGTGATAAACTACGGCTGCCAGGAGGAGAAATTGAATTACTCTGTGTTGCCATTATGATTGAGAACAGCCAGCACTCTGGCATGAAAATGATTTGCATTGAACCATTTATCTTGTCCTACTCAGTTAATGATCCGGATCGCTTAAGAGAACAAAGAGAAGGTGGGAAGCGGGAAGAAGATGACTGCGGGGTTGGTGTGCTGTACGAACACGAGGCTGAGGTTGTGTTTCATGCAAATACAATGAATAAAACGTTTTGTAACACTATTAGACAAATAGCAGCACACACACAAAACCAATTTCTCCAAATCAAAAATGGCTTCTGGAAATACAAAGTGAGCTTTAAAAGGAAGGCGCAACAAGCAGAGGGTTCCCATCTGCGACCACTGCACAACTGCACTAAAAAGGGCGGAGCACGTACTCACATTTAGCCCATTTAATCTTACAGTTAGTCATCTCTCAGTCCAAACGTCCACATTTATAAGCAACTCATCATTCCCCAAGCTTATCTCAGCAAAGAGTGGTACAACTTTCAACCCTGAATGCCACAGAGAAGGAGCTGAATACTGAAAAACATGGAGGAGGAGGAAATTAAGGAATTCATGTGGCGTTCGCAAAGGTCCAGAACAGACGGATCTAAAAAAGTTGATTAAAAAGGAGCAGAAAAACAAACGCAAAGCCGATACAAAAAAACCCTCTGAGTGATTCACATTAACACTTTAGTGACACATGGCTTAGCAATGCTTCATCACAAGGTCGCAACAGGACAAGAACAGCCCATATAGATGAGTATCAGCTATAATGAGTTTACTTATTAAACCCTCAGTGAGAAAAATGCCCTCATTTACACGAGGATTGAAGAGGAGTTTACTTGTGACTATAAACACCAGAGCAACTTTCACTACTTATCACACACAGTGCAGTGCTCTGATGGGCTGTTATCACAAGACCATAACAATGCAGGGTCAACACCGTCACACCCACTGTGCACATGCTTCTGTAAAGACAGCGGCACCATTACCATGGTATTAAGCGAGCTACTGGAATGTTCCTTTGACTGGATGTGCTTTAAATCTGTTCTAAGTTTATCAGCGACTGTTGTGGCACAGATTAGGAATAATATGTTTTTTTAGCTTTATGTGTATTAATGCTATTGTAAAAATATCGATTGAACTGAGAACTATTATTATCTAATTTTAGATACGCCTGTAGATGTGGTCAAGCTGAGCTGCTGAAGTTCAAACCCAGAATCAGAACAGAGAAGAAAGGTGGTTTAAGTGACTTTGAACGTGGCATTGTTGTTGGTGCCAGATGGGCTGGTCTGAGTAGTTCTGAAAATGCTGATGAGCCATCTCTAATGTTTACAGAGAATGGTCTGAAAGAGTAAATATACAGTGAGCTGCAGTTCTCTGAGAGAAAAAGCCCTGCTGATGGCCAGAGTGCCGATTGCTGACAGGAAGGCAACAGTAACTCAAATAACCCCTCGTTACAACAATGGTATGCAGAAGAGCATCTCTGAATTAATACAACGTGGAACCTTGAAGCAGATGAGCTGCTGCAGCAGAAGACCATGCCGAGTGCAACTCATGCCGGCTAAGAACAGGAAACTGGCTGCAGATTGGAATAACGTTGCCTGCTGCAGCATTTGGATGGTAGGGTCAGAATATGGCATAAAGATGATAAAAGCATGGATCCATCCTGCCCTCTTTCAATGGTTCAGGATGATGGAGGTGGTGGTGTTATGGTGTGGTGATATTTTCTTTACGCACTTTGAGGCTACGGCCTTCCTGCGTATTGTTGCTGACCATATGCACACCTTTATGACTGCAGTCAATTTGATTTATTTAAAACATTTGATTATATGTAAAGTCAATGTGTTTACTGTGTTTACTATATAAACATAAAAAACTATGTAGGTCTACAGGCAACAAAAAGTACAATATCTTACAAAGAATTCCCCCAACCATAAAACTAGAGCCTGCATCGATGCCAGTGGCCCATCTACTTAATAAATTCTATGTTGTTCTATGTGCAATCCACCAGTTGCTGATGGGCGAGCCAACATAACACAGAGGAAGGGCATTAGTGTAATGGCAAATGTGTTATTTTTGTACATTTGTGATAGTTTTTTTTACTTAACAGAAAAGTGTCAAAGTGTCAAAGTGACACTGACAACGACGCTCTCTTTTCATGTTTGACGTAACACAGTTTAGGAAGCTTTTATGGTAACAACATGTTTACTGTTTCACTCCACACACGAATTACGCAAAGAGAGGCATGTCCGTAAAGACAAATTACATGAAAATTACACGGGTTTTTTTTTGTTGCTTCATTTATCTAGGGCCTGTTGTCATTCATTATCTGATCATTTTCCAATTCAAACTTTTCTATTAGCTCAACTTCTTTACTCCTCTCAGGTCACCCTGCCCCACCTTTTCAAGCTGAAGAAGTGCTGTTGCATAACCTCTGATGACACCTTGCATAAACATGTAATTTTCCCCCTCTTAAGAAGTAAACTTAGGAAACTTGCTGTCTGACATCACATCATGAAAACGAGTTCTAAAGCTCGCTGCACTCTCACCAAACCACAGTACTGTTCTTTCTACACATTATTGTATTGAGCAACGGCTTCCTCTTTAAGCAACGCTGGACCACAGATGACGAGATCAGTTCTTGATATCTGCTGAGCCTTCTTACAATTAACAGTCACTTTATTTGTTGCCCTAATGAATACAAGTATCTGCACCTGGCATGGCCACACTTGGTTGTCAGGCTTCTTCAAATTAGATTTTACAGTGTTTGCCTGCCCAGTGCCAAGACAATAAAAAAATGAGCAAATAGTTATGCCTAATTTATCCTACCCCGGTTGTGTCCTTTACTAAATTCCCAACTGCATGATGCTCAGCGTGGATGACACTGTGCATCCGCCAAATGCTGATTGTTCAACTAGTCGGCCAGAGCAGCGGCGGATTTCACCGGGAACGGGAGAACATTTTTTAGAAGTAGGCTGCAAACAAACTCACTTGCAGATGACTTTATCATGTGTCCTGCCATTGCGCCTCAAGGGCTGTTCAAACAGACCCGTATTATAAATGCTCCCAAAAGCCTGACGTCTCATTTTAGCATTCAACACATATTCAATACACTAAACTAATGCTTTTGCGTTTTTTCATCCTGCTTAGCCCCATTGATTCAGCACTTTTGTGGATGCACAGAAACAACGCTAATATATCGATTCTCTCATCTGAATGTGTGAAACTGCAAACAACTAACAGCGAGCAGCACTTGAGTTTCCTGCAGGCCAGTCGGGTTTCTCTCAGCCTCCTGAGAATTAAAACATCCTTGTGTTATATGTTTACCTGTATAGCATTACAGCAGTGACGGAGAAGCCCTAACTCCCTGTCACGTCTCTGGTGAAACTTTTGCAAAAAGGTGATATTGAATGTTTTGTCTCTAGTGGAATCTCAACAGGGAAAGGCTTGTGTTACAAATTCATAAAAGACGTGGCCTGAATATGAATATCGCCCTATAGACACCCAAAAGAGATCATATCTGAATTCTGAGCAACTTAGGCCACAGGCTGCTCACAGTGCTTAGTAGCTGTACGTACTCTTACACGGTGGTTTTGAACTGAGGATTTATGTGAACCTAGCTTTCTGCTGTCTCATGTACAATCTTCAGAGTGACCTCTGCCTCCTGCACTCAATCAAGTCCTCTGATACACTGCATTGGAAGGAATCTGATTAAAAATTGGCAACTCGCTGTGTGGATTCTAAAAGCCAGATCTGTACATTTGCATGCAGCCATGCTCTCTGCTTTTCTAAGTGCATTACATTCCTATTAAAAACATTCTGTGGCCCAGCTGCTCCTTTACAAAAGACACTTTCACTCTGAATGGCCCGTTTTTGGGAGGTAATGTAATTTAGATTCTCCTCTGAGGTTGATACGTTTCTGGCTGGGGAAAGAAAATTACAAAAAGCAGAGAAACGGAACATTTTATAGTCTAACTGAAATCTATCTATCGCTCAATATAGGCCGGTCTACAGAATGAGGAGGTTAAAGACCACAAAACCTTTGTGGCAGAGCATTCCCAGTCTTTATTGTTTCACTTCCTGTCTTCTAAACTGCCAAATAAAGTGGAAAGAAATTCTGAAAACGACTTTATAAAACACACTAACTCTGTTCTTTTTGCAGCCGATATGAATTGTATTCTTTTTGCTGAAACATGGGTTGCTGTAAGGATTTCGCTTACTGAAGCTCCACTTTTATATACAGTCCAGTCTAAAAATAAAACTCATCTTAGTCATTCTGGCTTGTAGGAGTGAGTCACTGCATCCTGCCCCTCTGACAGCTTCCTTTTTCTTCCAATCCAACAAACTCTATCTCAGCATCCATCTATGGAGGCTCTGATTGCACCGAGCAAAACAGAAAAAAACAAAACAGTGTGCACTGTTCTCCCTGCACACTCACAGATTTGAGGCACCCTAATTGAGATCTGCCTGCCTGCAGCTGAGCTGACCAAAGCAATTTCATGCAGCGAGCGATAAAAGATGTGGGCTGAACTGGTGCCTTAATAAAACTGTGAGTAAAAGCTTCACTACAATAAATAAATAAATAAATAAAATCTCAAGATGATGCTGTGATGGAGCGTGGGTTTTCACTTTCTGCAGCATTTCCCTGCTGCACTATTTCCTGACTGTGGGCTGGACACGTTTGTTGATGGGTGACTGCATGCAGCTATACGTCCAATACCAAGTATACGTCCAATACCAAGTAAATACAGGGCCAGTATTGCCAATACCGATACCAATACTTTTACTCTATCATGGCAGGTTTTGTATGGGTGAGCAGTGTCTCGTGACTTATGGGACGAATCATTGTCCATTTGCAAATTATGAACACATTTTAATGATCACTAAATCAATGTGATTTTTACTTTCCACAATAAATACCAAAACAGCTTTTCATATATTTTGAAACAGTTTTTAATAGCCTGAAATTTTAATCTACCTCTCCTTAAAGCACTTAATAAATCAATAAATCTGAAGCTAGTAGCACAGTATAGATCCTATCACTAGTATCGATCAGACACTTTTGTATCGATAGCCTCGATATTTGGATCGATCCTCCAGATCTTCTGTACAGGCTCCGCAGGCATAGAGACGACAGGAAAACGAAAAAAAGTTTTTGAGAAGCGCTCAAAATAGAGACAAAAACAGCGTCTTGTGCTTCAACAGGAAGCCACGGCACACTTTACACTGTGACGCCCACGAGGGACTCAGAGTACAGCGTTTATTTACCTGGTGTAGAAATGTAACCGGGCGAGCGGGTCTGAGACCGCAGCGTAGGGTCTGAACACTTCCCACGAGTCCCGTCGCAACTTTGCACACCGCCCGCACCGAAGCCATCGTCAGCCGGTAACCGTTTTTAGCCGCCTCGCTGGGGCATGCCGGGAGGAGAGAGGTCCAGGACGAGTGCCTCAGAGCTCCGTGTTTCACTTTAAAACGGGCTGCTGTCTGTGCGTATAGCAACAGACAGGAGGATCGCTACGGGACCCGGAGGAGGAGGAAGAGAGCAGGCTGAGCTGCATACCATTTCCTCCTGACTACACCCGCGCGCTCTCTGCCAGACTCCGCTTCCTTTGTCCCCCACCCCTCCTCTTTCTTTCTGTTGGGTCTGTTTTGCGTGAAACAGCAAGTGGGAAGCATATGCGCCTGCCAGGCTCACGGGACTGTAAGCCGACATCCCAAACATCACCCCCTCTCCTCTCACCAATCATCACGAGTTGGTCTGATCGCTAAAATAACAAATTTATATGAGGCTTATTAGGGCTGGAGCCGTTGTAACGTTACACTTTGAAGTCTTCATAACTTCAAAGGGTGAACTAGGCCAAGAGCTCCACTTTAAGCATTCCACCCACAAATCGATTTCCTCTGATCCCACATTAAAATAGGCCCTTAGAGATAAAGCGAACTTTCTAATCACGGTGTTACGTATGAGCAAGGACTGCATTTCAGCTGTCAGCCAACAGGGGGAGCACTTACAAATATGTGTCACTGACATAAAGGTCAATGATGCGCAATTCTTTGTTCTTTCAAATACAAAGATGGATAATGTCAGAAGTTTCAATCTATGAGGTCAGCATTTGTGTGCAAAATCCATGTAAGCCAAAGATTCAGGCCTCAGTCTGCTGAAGCATTTAAAGACAGCTCTTTAAATGTTTGGCTCTGTATGCGAGCTTCTTTCTGCCACTGTGGGGGGAAAAGCTATCTGTAAGTCAAAGTGTATGCTTATTATTTTATTAATTTACATGTAATAAGTCCAAAATGTTTACTTGTACAGAAATTAGAATCAACTAGTCAAAATGTTGCGACAATAACTTCAAATTGATTGCTCTGGGCAAACAATTTGAGTCTGTGTCTGTGAGTGTAGATATCCCTGATATGGACAGGGTTTGATATGGATCTATTAGGTATGATGTGATATGAACTTATGCAAAGAAGCTCCAGTAAAGTTAATAAATCAATAAAAATAATAGATTGAGTGTTGTGCAGAGAGGTATCCTGCTGTCCAGTGAGGTTGGGCTCATAGACCATAATCTACTGCAGTGCAAGCAGTAGGAAGCTGTGCACACAATGAAAAATGTTCACACTGCGTTCTGTGTATCATCCCCAGAGCGAAGTATGTGCTACGGCTGGTGTATTGTGTCACAGAAAATGCGAGCATAACCGAGACAAATGGTGTTGAAAGCAGACAGGTCAGATAAATCTGTCATGAACACTCCCATCCGGTGATTTATAATACTCCAGTCAGCCACAATATTAAAAGCACTGACAGGTGAAGCGGCAATGTAAAGTTTTTTTGAGAAACCTTGGGCCCTGGCATTCGTGGTGGATAATTCTGCAGCATTCCACCACAATGCGCGACTGTTTAGAGAACAGGTCCAGAGACCCTGAGGCAAAACACAATGGATGAAACAGCCTTCGAGCTCTCAGATCTGGAACAGGCCCCACCAACAGACACCTCACACTGCAGCCCACAGGAACTGGCAACATCCCAGTGCTACACACTTCAGCACAGCCCTGTAGGTCTCGCTTTCCATGCCTTGAAGAATCTGAACTTTTTTTCGGGGGTGGAATACACTAAGTTAGGGAAAAGCTGTAATAAATGCTGAAGGTAATGGAACAATGGAACATTACTGTCATTAATCACCACTGAGTTTAAAATATTTACCTCCACTGTGTATGCATTTAATTTTTCTAAAGTACCCCACACACTGAACCAAATGCCAGTCTGGAAAAATGCACTTATATTAGCCTGTTCATTAATATTTAAGTATACCATAGTTAAGGCAAACACTTGATCAGCACAGTGTGAGCTGTCTTTTTAACCTGCTGGCCTTGAAGCGTGACAACAGTGACTTTCTTTGAGCGCACAGTTGAAAATTATGTTCTGCACATTGTGGTGTCTTCTTCTCTACTAGATTTATGTGGCATTTTATCAAACAGTAACACAATGGACCCTCTTCTATACTAAGAGGGGGGTGATTCCTAAAAGCCACTCTTCATTTGTCAGAGATTCTTTCTTCATGCAATCTGCTTTAGTCCACAGTGGTGAGTCTTTAAAGACTGGTGAGAGGCATCAATACTCCCAGAGAGAAGATGCATGACGGAAAGGCTAGATGAAATCGATATGCTCCTGTGGCCACTGAGGCTGTTTTACTGACAGATTACTTTGATTTAAATGTGCATTTGTCCAAGATTTTGCAGACAAACTGCAAGGAATTGTTGCCTTATTAGCACACACAGTGAAATTGAATGCTGTTTACGGTGAAGTTTTCTGCTTAGTTGTTGTTGGTCTTCTGGTCATCTGTTACCCGTCACCTGCTGCTAGATTTATGCTCTCGTTTTGGCCACACGCTGGTGGATTAAGACTGCAGCAGGGCTCTCTCGCTGAATGAAGTTATTCAGGGGAAATGAGCCAGGTTTCATTTTCTAATGAGTTGGCAAATGTGCTTCGGGCCGTTGAAAGAAGCTTCACTTTAATAACAAAATCTGCTTGCACAGAGAATTATGTAGTAGTTAATTATTTAATAGCGAGGTGATGCATGGAGTGATTCCATATCTGTGATGACAAAACATTGAAAGTCCAAGTGATCACCGAGCGGGAATTAACACATTGTAATTTATGACTTTCATTTTATCTTCATTTAATGTTTGAATGCCCTTCTAAACTACGAGCTGTTGTCTCCTTAAAGCATTTTTCCACTATGAAGAATGATGAAAGAAGAGTGAAGATATTTTAACAGCAAGGCTATAAACTGGAGAGATTATATCTCTCGGCTGGCCTGGGAACGCCTTGGTGTTCCCCCAGACTAGCTGGAGGGGGTGGCTGGGGAGAGGGAGGTCTGGGCTTCTCTGCTTGGGCTGGTGCCCCCGCAACACGGCCCTGGATAGGTGGAATATCAGGACTGGTGTACTCCTCAGAAGGTTTGTATCTTATGGATACTTGGCACCATCTTGTGGGCGCTAAAAGGAACATAATTTCTGCAAAATGAGACTGTCTTTGTGACTGTAAGATAGTCTGTTGACATCACTTTCACACATTGTGTGCATTCTGAGTTTGTGACAGATTCAGAGTTTAAACAATGACTCCAAAACGAGTCCAAAATAAACAGTTGTGTCAGTTTAAGTATTTTAATATCTGTAAAAAATGTACAGGATGTGGATGGGGAGGCTTTTGCATACCTCTCTTTTATACTTTAGCTGAAGTGTGTGCATCACTCGTGTAATTCCTGCAACATTTGACATTTATGAAACGTGTGACTCCCCATAAACAGTGTGGCGGTGGTCTGATGATTTAGGAGCAAAGTGTGTGACAGTCAGTGCTCCTTTGTGTTTCTCGCTCTTGAAGTTTTTTTGCAGCTTTGCTGAGATCAAGTTTCCACCGAGGATTTTAAAGTGCTGTGCACTGCCCCCTTAACCTTTAGTGAAGCTGCAATTTAACACCAAGGAAATTGTTCTTAGCTTAGAGTAACTCCTATATTATATAACATACTATAAGAATAGTATGTTTCCCATCCTCACAGTCAGCACTGATATGGTGTGAAGCTTGTTTCTAAAAGATGAAGTGAATGTTTCCAAGCTGTTTTCTTAAAATGTTATTATCATTATTATTATTAGTAGTAGTAGTACACTTAATTATGTTATCATTATTATTATCAAGGTAGTCGTGTGAATATGACTATTTTCATCAGCTACCTAAAACATCTGTTCTGATGATCATTAAAAATAATGACTCAAAAGTAATATATCAACAACATATTCAACAATCTCTTGTACCAGATTATCAAAATAAGCTACAGTTGTCCTTTGACAACCGTTTCAAACATTAGCCCTCCAGTTACTAGAGCCTAAACTAGTATCTGGCAGTTTGTAGTCACATTATGTGACATTATGTGTTGTGCCTTTAAAACCTAAAATAAAAAGTTTGGTTTCCTGAATAAAAATAGTGGGGTCTTCTCTGAGCCTCCACTATTTTTTGGAAAGAGTCCTATGAATAAATGGAAAAAGGACTGAGCCATTTGTTAAACACAGCAGCTGAGTGGAGTTTTCAGCTCCAGCTGCTGTTAAAACTGAAGAACTACAGATGAAGCATCAGACAACACACCATGTTCCCGGGTCTATGTGCTTTGGTCCGTTTGCTTTAACAACAACAAACGTGGATGTTCTTTGTGTGATTTACTAACAGTGAGCTAATCTATACAGATATACACTATATACTACACTATATACACTATATAGTGCTCTTTCTCTCTCCAAGAGACCAAGTTGCATACGTGAGTTTTTTTCATCTGTAGGCCGACTGTTTTGCCTCAGTCTGTGCTGCATGCAGAATTCCAACACAGCCTACATCCATAAGTTTAAAAATCATAACAGCTGAATTTAATTCAGTTGCATCAGTTTGTGGGTGCATCAAATCACTGTGCCAGCTGCTATTTCACAGCGTAAAGAAAATGCAAAGCCCCTGACGCCCTGTGACGAATACAGAAGAAGAAATTCATAATCACACTTGTTACCGCTGTATTGGCAGGAAAAACATTTTAATACAAAATCACAAAACAACACGAAAAGACGAACCTGGAACTCTAATAGACAACAAAGAAAACAGAAAAAAGACTACAGATTTTTGTTGGAAATGTGTATGGAAGAACTGGTTAAGCGAGTGGTAAAAAAATCAGTCGCAGTCATCAGTCAGGAAGAAGTTATAGCCATCTACACGAGGCTTACCAACAAGCTCTGGGCTGAAATCGATGATCAATTTGATGAAATTCTTTTAATGAAAGCTATTAAGCATCAACGACCATGTCGGACTGATTCCGTAGACCAGAACCATTGGTGTTCAGTTGCCGAAAAGTGGCGTGTGTTTGAGCAAGAATACGACATATTCACAGCCGCTACCCATTCCTATAAAGATGCCAGAACTAGAGCGTTCATCCTGGTAAATCTGGCCAGCTCTGAAGATATCGAGTGGGAGCGTGCCTTCGTGTACGCGGGGGAAGGGGAACACAGACGAT